AAAAAAAAAAAAAAAGGAGGGGGTTTGGATTGGACCCCCCCGCCCCGGTGCGGGAGGAAGGACCCGCGGCCGGAGGGCGAGGAGCTGCGGCGGCCGGCGAGGGAAGGGACCGGGGCTGCGTGACCCCCGCGGCGCGGGGGGAGAGGCGAGGAAGAGACGTTTCCCGATCCTCCCCGCCGAGGATTTGGGGAGGTTTCCGCGCCTGGAGCCCGTGCCTTTGGATCTAAAGAGGATTATTAATTTTTTTTTGGGGGTGGCACTGAAGCTGGATTTGTTCCTGTGCGTGCGGCGCGGGGGGGGGCATTTGTGCTGCCTCTAGAGGAGCCGGCGGCCCGGCCGGGGCGCGGAGATCCCCGCGGATCGCTCCGCACCCCCCGGGAAAGGTGCGCCGAGGGGATCGGCGGGGGGCGGGGGAGGAGAGGCAGCTGCAGCTGCCGGGGAGGAGGCCCGGCGGAGCGGCAGCAAAGTCATCGCTATCGGCCCCCCCTCGGCTGGCTCCGGGCTCGGCGCTCTCCATGTCTCTGGCTCTGGGCAGCGGCCGCCACAGCAGCGAGTAGGGGGGGAGGAGGAGGAGGAGGAGGAAGAAGAAGGGAGCCCGGGAGTGCCTCCCTCCCTCCCTCCCTCCCTCCCCCCGGCAGCCCCAGCCGCCTCCCGTCCCCTCGCCCCGCGTCCCTGCCTTCCCCTCCCCAAGATGGGCTGTTTAGGGAACAGCAAGACGGAGGATCAGCGCAACGAGGAGAAGGCGCAGCGGGAGGCCAACAAGAAGATCGAGAAGCAGCTGCAGAAGGACAAGCAGGTCTATAGGGCCACGCACCGGCTCCTCCTGCTGGGTAAGGGGCCGCGGGCAGCGGGGCCGGGGGCCGTGCCCTGCCCGCCGGGGCGCCGGCCCCAGCCCGGGCACGGGGAGGCCGGGGCAGAGGTGGGGCCCACCCGGGGCCGCGGGGATCCGCTACAGCGCCCGGGGCGGCGGGGCTGGGGGCGCCGGGGGAGCGGCGGGGAGGGCTCGGGCACCACCCGGGGCGCCGCGGGAGGGGTCGGGGCAGGTACGGGAGCGGCGGCCCCGGCGGGGTGGGCAGCGGGGCCTCGGGCGGGCGCGGGCAGGGGGCCGGGGATGCCGCGGCGAGGGGCCCGCGGGGAACCCGGCAGATAAACAGGGCAGGGCAGTGACAGCGGCCGCGGGCGAGCGGAGCGCGGCAGGGCCGGACACCGCTCCCACTCTCGCCGCGGCTCGGGGTGCCGAGGGACGTGCGGCCAGGCCGGGGAGAGGAGGAGGAAGAGGAAGGGAGGAAGTCGGGGAATCGTTTGGGGGAAACGGAGGGAGGATGTGTGTCCCGGAGGGAAGCGCGGCCGCGCTGGGGCCGGGCAGCGGCGCAGGGCCGGGCGGGCACAGCCCCGGCCCCGCAGGGCTCGTCCCCCCGCGCTGTCGCACCAGGAATTGAGGGACCGCGCTCGGAGCGCCGGCACAGCCCCGCTCCAGGTGCGATTCCAGCCGCTCCTCCGGGTTACCTGCCTGTGTTTGGTTGTTGTTTTTTTTTTTTTTTTTTCCACGAGATATATTTAGAAACGCGGGTTGTGGCTTCCCAAGGAAGGGAAAGGTCCAAAAATCGTTATAGAGGGGGGAGCAAGGAAATGTTTTGTCAGGCTCGTTATTTCAGTGTATTTGGGAGTAGTGTTTTAAGATCGGATGCAGTTACGAGCCGTGGGTTGTTTTGGTCACGCCGAGGGACCGCCTGTGCACGTTCTGCAGGGCTGTAGTGTGGAACACAGGGTAGGCCTCGCCGAGCTGACTCAGTTCTGGGGTGAAGAAACCTTCGTTGAAGGGGGAAAAGAAAAATTATTATTTTTTTTTTAAGGCTGTGAATTTGGAAGTATACTTTCACCAGTAACATCTTTCAAATAGTCATTGGAAGAAAGAGACTTAACATAAATGGAGAGAAACTGGGGCTACAGCAGCACCTGCAGCACTGAGGAGCCTGCCAGGGCTCCAGCAGAAGTCTTTTTAACAGGAGAATTTGGACTTCAGCTCTTGGGGAATGTCTTGGACTTCCAGATTTCAGGCTGAATATTACATAGATATCTAGAAACCATTTGTCATCAGACGGGTTGCTTTCATAAGAGGCAAAATTTCACCAAACAGAAACATGATGGGCTTGCCTGGATTTTCTTTATGTTTTTGTTTGTTTGTTTGTTGTTTTTCTTTTGTTTGGGGTTTTGGGTTTTATTTGTTTGTTTTTAATTTTGGTGGCTGAAAAATAGTTTAGATACTTGTAAATAAAAATTTGTGTATGCTTAGTGATGGCAGTAAGGTCATCTGCGTGTGTGTGTTTTAAAGTGGTAGTTCAGGTGTTACAGTTTCTGTCACGAATTGTGGATAGTCTGTAACACAGACTCACTGGTAAACACCCAAATATAACAGTTCCCGTCCCTATTATTATGTTATGTTTCCTTTATAAGACACATGAAATAGAAAGCCAAGCACTTTGAAAGTATTCCTAATCTTTTCAAATCATATTCAAGCAGCAACAAAGAGCTGCTGAATATTCTAGCGGGTTTATGCTACTCCTTGTAGGCCCCAGCGCTGTACACGTGCTTGTCCTGCTGCCACGAGCAGTCTCGCTGAAATTAATGGAACTCTCCTTGGTGGTGAAGTTAAATGTGTGTGTAACTGTTGGTAAGAATATGGCCTTAACGAGCAGCCAAATATAGAAATAGACTTATGTAGGTGTAATACCTCGTTTTGGTTCCCTGGTGTTGTATCTGATCCAGAGAACCCAGGTGTGTCAATACCAAACCCTATGTGTTTATAGCAAATGCAACAACTATCCAGCCCTGTTCTTGGCCTAAGTCAAGTAAAGATTTTGGCTCCCAGTGCTTGTAAATATGAGATGTGATTTAGAGTTACAGCTGAAATTTAGTTGTTAATTATTTTTAATTGGAAATGTGACTATAGCAAATGCTGCTGCTCCTGAATAATTCTTAGTTGCGAAGGGGACCCAGTCTCTTTATCTTAACCCAAGACACTAATTCTTGATGAGTTTTGCCACCTGTGTTTATTGCCTCGTGCAGTCTCTCTGAAGAGACAGAGGGTGTCTGTTGCAGAACAGTAGTTTAGTGGCGAAGTGGTGCTTGCATAAAGAGTTGTAGATAAAAACTGCTCTCTAAATGCTTAGAAAACACCATTGAGCAAGGAAAGGAAAAAGGAGTGAGGCTCTGGTATTAAAGTGGTAAAACATGCCAGCAGGTTTTACGGAGAGCAGAGCAGGACTGTTGGGAATTCAAGGGGGAGAAGGAAAGGAAGGGAGAAAGCAGAGGGGGAAACGTGTTTGTCAGAAAATGAACTTTGAAATATAACTGCTAAAATACAGTTTTGAGCATGAGGCTCAAAATGGAGGCTTGTGCTGTCAGTGTGTGCTAGCAGAGGCCTGACATCCTATAAATACAAACTGTACCTCCCTGCCCGTTCTGCCACAGATGTACGGTTCCTGTTGTTGAGACACAGGCTAATGAGAGCAGTGAACGAGTAGCCAGGAGATGCTAAGGGGAAATCTTTCTAAATTTTGCCAGGTTGTGCTACTACTCTTGCAAAAAAAAAAAAAAATGTGTTTGCTTTATATAGAAAGCTGCCGATCTGGCAACGTGGAGCAGCTCAATTAAATGCTGCTGTTGGAGTTGTTCAGCGTGCATGGAAAAACGGGTACTATAGGCAGATGGGCTGCCCTGTGCACTGGCATCCGAGCAGCTCAGCAGAAATAGCATCCATCCACTTATGGAAACTGGAGTAAAGTGGAGTGGGGGTTTCTGTACTGCAGGTATATGGGGGAAGCAGGGCAGGGCTGCAGCGGAGGGGGGGGGCTGTTTGGAGCAGGCAACCACAGAAGGTGGTCTTTGCATCTCGTCGTGCTATAGGGTTGATTTTGGAATGTGTAGAGAGGGTGGGAGGTTGCTTACAAGACACAAATAGGAGAAGGAGGTTTTTGTAGCACTGTGGGTGGAGGCTTAAAGGGATGCCTTCCTTTTTCAGATGTGAGTATCCACGTATTTTACTTCTTGTGATTTAAGTTACAGTCTTCGACGGGGTGATGATAAACCACAGCCAAACTTAAAATGAAGGATCTAACAAAAATGCTTTGGTTTAATAGGGACTTCAGTCAGTCTTTCCCTCCGTCAGATAGCAGTGACAAGGCCTGTTTTCTTCTCTGTAAAATGTTGAAGTTGTCCTTTTTCTTTCCAAATACTGCAATCTGCTTTTAACGTTGACACTGGAAAAACGGACAGTGAAATGATCCAAGATTCAGATCTGACACATGACTTGAGCTGGGCATTTATTTTTAGCTACAACTGAAGTTTCCAGTGGCAATTATTTCTTTCACTTTTCACTCTTGCACTGAGAAAACCAACTTTCTCGATTTTACCCCGAAGAAAAAAATTTTGGTGTATCCCTTAATCACTCATGCTTCCTTCTGAAATTGATTTACTTTCATTTTCTAGGTGCTGGTGAATCCGGTAAAAGCACAATAGTCAAACAGATGAGGATCTTGCACGTGAATGGATTTAATGCTGAGTAAGTGCATTTGCTTTTTCACTTTACAGCGTACCTTCCGCCTGTGCACTGCACAGAGTCAGAGCTGCTGGTTTATAGCTTGATGTGTTTTCTTCTTGCTGCTGTTTCACTGTGTCTAGAATTTCAGTGTGTATTTTTTAATTAGATTAATAGACATTCAGTTGAAGAAGTCAGGCACCAATTTTAAGTGAGATCCAGCAGTATAAAATTATTATATCAAGGCATAGCTTAAGTTTTATGTGTTTGTTAACTGCAGTTTCTTTCACAACATGGCTGACACTGATTTACCTCAGCTATAGCACATGGATTCATATTGCTGAAAACAGGCCTGGTGTCAATGTACAAAATAAGTGCAGTTTTCTTTATTTAGAATAAGTAAGGCTTTAGTTTCTGTCTCCTCACAAAATGAAACTGTACTATGAATTTTAGGGTTTCTGTTGCATTTGCTTGTCCAGATGATTGTGTTAAATTATGTTTCTAAAAACTTTTATTTTTTACACTCAGTATCTGTTCAGTTATTTGATAGTTGTGAGGAGGAGAATGGCATAAGATAGGAAAAATGGATCATCTATTTTTTTCACCTGAGAGGGATTTGTTTTGCTAACTTTTTTGTCTAACCTTGCTAGACAATAAGAAGAGATTCTTCTGCATGTTGCTTTATGCCTGCGAGCATCTGTGTGTGTATCCCAAAACCTGCTAAATTAATTCTAACTGAATGAAAGTATTGACTTTGCAAAGCTTATTCTCTCTGCTTAATTTTATTTTTTTTTTTATTATTTTTTAAATTTTTTTTAGATTTTATTTCTGGTTTTGTCTTGCTTGTTGTCGAGCATAGCAGTTTGTATTGTCGTCCTCTAGCTTTTAGTGGTATCATCTATTTTGTTAATCCTACCTTTTTGGGAAGATAAAGCTTTCACTAGTCCCAGTAGTTAATTACTGAGTATGAATGTCTGAGCTAAAAGTTTAGCCGAGGAGCCTGGATAGTACTTTTTCCTAATCACCAAATGCTGGTTCAGGATAAGGTACACCATCTATTGAATGAAAGTTCAGAATGATTCATAATAAATTACATTCTGTGCTACATGTTTTAAGCTCCTCTTTCTAGGGAATATTTTCTTTTTTCCAAATAACTTTTCTGTAAGTGCCTACTCCTGCATCGTGTTGCTCCTGAGTTGTCTCCGTCATTTTGGCTGCTCTTGTTATTAAAGACCTCCTAAAAGACCTCTGTGTGACTTAAAAGATTTGCATGAGTTGGCTTGGATGTAGCAGCTCTCAACCTTGGGTGCTAAGTAAAAAGTAAAAGAAAGTGCAGGTGGAGGATCCCTGGTGTATTTGAGAACATCAGTCCGTTTAACCAACACAGATCGAAGTTCTCTAAGCACACTGATGCTCCTAAAGAGATAACGATGCTGGGTAGTGAATGGGGTGTTACGTGGGTGGGTAACCTTCTCAAACCCTGCAAGCCCAAATTTGTGTGGATCTGGGAGCCCAGAGACCCCTCAGACAAAGCCTGCAGAGCTGGAGAGGGGCTGGGGCACGCTGGGATTCGCAGCAGCGCTGTGTTCCTTGAGTGTCCCGCTGTGCGTGGTGGGTTTGGGCAGAGCTGAGCGTGCAGCTGCAATCCAGGGCAACATGGCAAATTTGGCCTCAGGAGGCTCTGCTGGCTTCTGCCTCCTCATAGCGAGGGATTTGGATTACGGAGCAGCCCCGCGCCAGCACAGCCCTGCTGCCAATCACAGAGCGTGTCCCAGTGCGGGAGCCACGCGGGAATTGCAGGGAAGGTCCCTGCAGCTCAGGAACCATGGATTGTCCACCCACCCGTGGCATTCGGTCTTGCAGGGAGTCCTTTGTGCTCGTCCTTTTGTGGGTCCTACTTATTGGAACGCTGAGGTGCATAAAAAGATCAAATAAAGAAGTGGTGTATTTAAAATGTACAAGAATTAAGTTATAATACATCATTTTAGGTTTCTATTGCCAAAAGCAATCAGTAGATCATAACATACACTTTACAGGGGGGAAAAGGCTGTTTTCCAGTGTTCTAAAATGTACAAGAAGTAAGTTATAATGCATCATTTTAGGTTTCTATTGCCAAAAACAATCAGTGGATCATAACATACACTTTACAGGGGGGAGAAGGCTGTTTTCCAGTGTTTTGAAATTCTTGCAAGTTACACACATGTCCTTAAGTAACTTGTCTTTTCTTCCAAGTAACTGACTGCTCCCTGTGTTGGCCTGCTTTCCCTGTTACCCATTTTGATGGATTCATTCCCTTTTTATCCTGCTTACCTTGTGGAAAAATGATGTGGGATTCAGCTAACGAGAGAGATAGCACGGAGGTTTTTTGGAAGGGTAGGAAAAGCAAAGCATTACTTCTCTTCATGTCCTGATCAGTCTTTCTGGAGCATAAATATGTTTGCCTACAACACCACAGCTGATGCCATGAATAACAGCAGCGTGCTGGTGAAAACTGTGCTGTGCTGGAGATGAGGAGAATTTTTTTTATGTTGGTGTAATGGTTGGTGTAATGGATATAACTGTAGGTTTGAATTATTCCTGTTGGAGCAGGCTATTGGTGTGCTGAGAGAAATCCGATTTAAATTCCTGCCTAAAACTTGTTTCCCTTTGGTTTGGTTGTCCTGTGACCAGTTGTTGTTTGTGGCAGAAAGAGGATCCCTGTTGGGAGAAATGTCTAGTGTGCTACTGACAAAGGAAGAGAAAGTTTTTTATTTAGTGTTACTCAAATGTTCTTCTTTCAGGTGATTAGGCAGGGTACCCAGTCCTAGAAATGCTGGCCTACTCCAGTGAGTGTGAGGGGATTTTACTTATTTTGATTTTACGATTCTGCCCCTAAAAAGTTGAAGGGACAGTTGTTGTGTGCATTTAGGTGAATTGTTGTAGCATTTAACAAGGTGAAATCTATGTAGTCTACAAAACTAGAAGAATTTCCTCTGGGACTCCAATCCTCAGTCCTTTTAGCTAATTAATTATTTGAGGAACTGTATGGAATCAAGTGTTCCAGGTAATTAATGTGCTGAATAGTTAAAGCTAAATTGAATGTGAAGGTGGTTAAAGTTCTAGGCAAGTTAACTACAGCAAAGAGTGTTCCATTTTTTCTGTGTTCCTTTCATGATCTGTAGTTGAGTTAGAGACAGAAATGTATTTCTTTATTTTTCTGTCCTTGTTGTGAAGATGGCATGTGAGAAGCAGAGGAGAATATTGGAGGGGCAAGGCATGCTCTGCAGCACAGGCTGTTCTGGATGGAGTGTTTTGGAAGGACTTAGCCTGCTTCTGGCTCCTGCAGAATGGTTTCAGGTGGCCATGCTATCCTCTGACCCCTTCCTACAGCAGTTCCATAAGCAGTGGGAATGTGGCTTCCCCACTTCCAGTGTTCCTCATCTTTAACGTGCAAGAGCTGCCTTTTAAGCATAATGAAGACGCCGTATCAACCGAATTTTCTGCTCTTTGCACTACAGCCAACAACAGAGGCCCTTCTGATGTAGAAAGGGTTTAAATTTGGCTTTTAATAGCAGGAAGCCTGTGACTTCCCTTCCTTTCCTTTCCTCCCTCCTCTAAACTGTCTTTTCATGAGGCTGTTCCAGAGGAGTGGTCTCTGCTATTGCATACAGTGTTTTGTGAGTGTCCACTGATAAAGGGGAGCTAAAACCCTCTCTTTTTTGGCTGTTCAGATGGCAGTCTTTGTGAACAGGAAAGGGCTAAAAACGGGAAAGGGAGGAAAGGAGTAGCAAGGAATATAGTTGGAAGAATTAAATGTGTTGCTTGGGCTGAAGAGGAAAAAACACAGAGAAGAGTTGGTATCTTGAGGCAGGGCTTCTCTGCTTCTATCATGGCCTTTCACTTACTTTCAATTTTTTTAAGTCATCTTTCCCCTCAGTAATCGCTGTGGCTTTGGCTGACAGACTCTAAGGAGAGGGTCATTGTCATGCACGACTTTAGAAAGCGGGAATTGGCACAGCCGATGGACAATTCTGAAGTGTCATGGGAAAAACTGGGACAAGCAGAAATACTTAAATAGAAATAAATGGTTGAAATGTGACTTACGAAATCCACTACAAAGATTGACAAATATGGGGAATGTGCCTTTGTGATTAGTAAGTTTGGATAATATTTAGGATTCAGGAAGTCTTGAGGTTATAGGGAATTTCACGTAACGCTTCTCAGCCTCAATTTCCTAAACAACGTTGTATCATGTTGACACTTTCTTAAATGAGTATGTTGAAGTGTTGAATAGGAATTTGTGTATTTATCAAATCTGTTGATGGTGAAGGCAGAAGCAGAGATGAGTAGCTTTATTTCCAGGACTTAGATGATAAGTATATTTGCATTTCTCTTGTGCTTTTAAAAATTACTTTCTCTTGGTGGGGAAGTTTGAAAGCCAAGTCACCCTCTTACAGATTTTGAATGTTTTCTCTTTTCTCACCTAGATTTAGTCGTTTGTGAGGAAGGAAAAATAGTCATTGATAGTATCTAATCTTTTTTTCATACATATGGAACTGCATTACCGTTGTTATTTCACACAAACCAGTAAATTATATTGTATGGACACTTTGATCAGTGTTAGTCTCTCTTGTGACTGAAGAGACTTCAGGTAACTTTTCTCTTGTCTAATATGTTTTTTTTTCACTTTGGTCTTTCTATGCACGTGATTTTATGGAAGGGAAGTTAATGTTATGAGGGAGGAAAAAGTATAATATTTATAACCAAGTCATCTAAAATAATGAATTCCCACCTAATGGCTCATATTAGTTTGTGAACACAAACGTTACGGCTCCTTTTTTACAGTTTCTTTACATTTGTGGACCAATCCCCTATTTCTAGAACGGTCCCATCAGTTCCTTGCCAAGAAACAAACAGATCTTATTGTGCTTTACTTGACTGGCAACAAAAGTAATTTTTTCCTGGTGTTTGAGTAACATTGAAAATTGGAGTGGGGGGGAGGTTTGGGATGTGTGATTTCCCTTCCCCCACACTTCTTTCTTTCT